ATAATAACACAATTCTAGTCCTTTGTCAATTGTATTTAAAGTAAATTAATCTGTAATTTTTCATTTTTAAATTAAAAGACGATGATGACTCGAGAAGACATTGCTCTTTCCAAAGTCAAGAGGTCAAACTCTGAAACTTTTGCATCTCACTCAGGTATGTCATTAAACAAATATTACAAAAATAAGGTTGTGTTTGTAAAGTTTCTAATTTATATATTTTTCTTAAATTATACATTTATTTATATTTGTGTCTTACTTATTATGTGTTTATATGTGTTAAAGTTATATGGGTTTATATTTTGTAAGTGTGTAAATATCTTTTATATATGAGTGTTTCTATGTTTGTAATATAATTTTATTTGTTTATAGTTTGTGAGTAGTTATTATATTGTTTGCATGGCTTCAAGTTGTTGTGACTTAGCTTAGTTTACAACAAGAGTGTGGACCTTGCTAGCCATGAAGTGTACTTTTCTTTAATATGACTTGGCTTTGTTAAAAGTGAGAATGTTGTTCTTGTCAGTAAAGTGGTGTACTGTCATGATGAAACACATAAATTAGATCTGTTTGTAGTTAGTGTAATCATAAAATGCGTTAAAAAAACATCGTTGAAAGAGTGTTTTTAAAAGAAATGTTAATAAGATAAATAATTTTTTAACACCTACAGTTTTTCAGATAATTATATACTGTTACTTTTTATGTAATATTTGTTAAAAAAAAAAAAATACTCTGTTCCTTTTTACTTAGCTATTTGCATTTTGTTAATTAAAAAAAAAAATTGTTCAAAAAATATATACTCATTTTTGTGAATAATTTATAAAATAAATTGTCAACAAAAAAGAGTATATATATAAAGATCATAAATAAATACATACATACATAAATACATACACACATTTTAATTTATCTGCATTGAATTAGTAACCTTTTTTTATTTAGAATATTAAATATATAAAAAATAATAAAGTAGTTAAAGAAGATTCAATGCTTCCAAGTTTCTTCACTTGAAGCAAATAATTGTTTATTTGCTTCAAGTGAAGCTTATTTAGAGGCTTCAAGTGAAGCTTATTTAGAGGTTTTCTATTATTAGTTTTGTATTTACTTATTTATTGCAAATCTTTCATTAAGTACATTTCAATGTAATGAAAGGGATTTTATGATGGAGGATTACATTTCACAGTTCGATGCTAGCAGTACTTACTGAGCAGACAGGCCTTATAATTTTATCAAAATGCTTTATTTATGAGTTTTTATCCGTAAAAAATTTTTTTAATTACTTTTTATAATTTGTTTTTTTTTGATTAAATACTTGTCAATAATTAATAAGAACTACCTTAAATATATTAAAAAGAATATATTATTTTATTTATAACTTTAGTTTAAGTTCATGATAGAAATATGTTATCTTTACACATAGCTAAATTATTTTAAATATTACTTACACATTTTTATTACACAATAATATTGCATAATTATTTTAAAACATCTGATTTCAATATGATTAATAGTAGAGTAGAATGTAATTATATTATTATATTATGCTATTTTATTTGCTTACATTGTATTTTAGATGAGTTTAAGAAAGAAAACTCAAAGTTCAATCTGAAAATAAAAGTTCAAGTTTTATTATTTTGAGAATCATTTTAACACACTCCTTTAATGCTTAAGTACGTCTGATATTTTAAGAAGTGAAATTATTAGACTTACTCAAAGTAAAAGAAACTAGATTAGGCTGTGATATAATGTCGTCAAAATGAAAGAGATGACATGACTTGATGAGCTGACATAAATTGTAATCAAAATAAAAGAAATCAGGCTTGGAAAGAACCCAATATGTATAATATGCATCATATAGCATATTTAGTTGTTATTTTATTTCTTTAGTTCTACTCAAGTGCTCTACCAACTATCATATGTTTACTTTTCTACTGTTAAAATATGGTTTTAACTTAGTAAACTCTTTAACTTAGGTAAAAATAATTTTATTTTCTGATCAAACTGCAAAACTTTTTTGCACTGATAGCATTACTTTGTTTTTGTTATTTTGTGTAATAACTAATTGTTTTTGAAATAAAGGTTTATACAGATTTTGACTGTTTTTAACAATGCCCTAGAAAAAGCATCAGCAACAGGTAAATTAGTTTGTAGTATTATTCTTTTTTGTCTTTAGTTCTATTATCATGTCTTAAATTATTTTTTTTTTTTTCATATATTGCAATGCTTTTTCGGCTTATTGCAGATCAAATAGAGGTCTTACTCTCATAATTCATAAGATGCGGGCTTAAATTTTGGGCAAAATATCTGCCCTTTTTTTTTGAATCTATAAAAGGGGGGCAACTGCATCTACAATTACTATTTTTGTAGTTGGTTAATCTACCAATTGGTAATTGATAATGCAAATTTAGTTAACTTTTTTTTGTTAATATATACTTTTCTTTATATATTTTGTTTTGCTATTATGTATAAAAAAATTGAATTCCAGTTAATAACTGTGGTGTATTTTTTTCCTTTTTTAATTCGATTTCCTTTTTTAGATTAATCAGATGACGTGTTTGTTTAATATATACATACATTTGTGTACCTTAGAAGACAAAGGTTGGTTGTCCAGTTTTTTTATTTTTCAGAAGACAAAGAAGACAAAGGTTGGTTGTCCAGTTTTAAAGTTAGTTACATAAATTTAACCATCTAGAATAAGCCAATAAAGGCTAATTATTTTACTATTTCTTCTCTCCTGAATAATTTCTAAAATTTTACAACCGACCTTTGACTTTTGAGGTACAGAATTGAAAACTCTTAAAAACTCTTATGTTTTGTTAACTTGTTAATAAATGTGTAAATAAAATTATCTGTAATTTTTCCAAGCTATTAGGCATTTTTTTTGAAACCACTATCCGTCATGATTCGTATTTTATCTGTGTGAACGAAAGTCTATGAATATGACATTTTTGTACAACCACCTAAGTTCAAAATTATCTAGCAACGCCCCTCGTAACAGAAAAACTTTCAATAAAACATATCTAGTATAGCTTTTTTTCCATTTTTTATTGCAGTTTAGTTTGATATGCTTTTCATTTTCTCTAAAGCCAAATTTTAAAACTACATATTTGATACATTGTACTAAGATTAGTCATCTTTTCAAGCTTTCTACACAACTTTTTCAAGCTTTCTACACAACTTTTTCAAGCTTTCTACACAACTTTTTCAAGCTTCTACACAACTTTTTCAAGCTTTCTACACAACTTTTTCAAGCTTTCTACACAACTTTTTCAAGCTTTCTACACAACTTTTTCAAGCTTTCTACACAACTTTTTCAAGCTTTCTACACAACTTTTTCAAGCTTTCTACACAACTTTTTCAAGCTTTCTACACAACTTTTTCAAGCTTTCTACACAACTTTTTCAAGCTTTCTACACAACTTTTTCAAGCTTTCTACACAACTTTTTCAAGCTTTCTACACAACTTTTTCAAGCTTTCTACACAACTTTTTCAAGCTTCTACACAACTTTTTCAAGCTTTCTACACAACTTTTTCAAGCTTTCTACACAACTTTTTCAAGCTTTCTACAAAACTTTTTCAAGCTTTCTACATAATTAAAGAATAGTGATAGAGTTAAATTCTCTACTAAACGTTTTCGAAAACATTTTTAAAAACTATCAAAGATTAGCGGGTGGAATGGAAACAGTTGGGACAATAAAAATATTTAATCACTCTTTGCAGAAATTTAATTTACGGTACATAGAATACTTGGATGATGGTGATAGCAAAAGCTACACTGCTGTCAAAAACACATACAAGGGTATTGAAGTATATAAACTAGATTGCATTGGACATTTTTAAAAGCGCATTGGATCTTGTTTTAGACAATTAAATAAAAAAGTCAAGAGCTTAAATGGTTAAGACGGTTTAACAAATACTAAAATTGATCGATTGCAAAACTATTTCTGTAGTTGCATTAGACAAAATTGTAGCAACTTTTAAGGCATGAGATCTTCAGCAATGGCAAGCTAATTTCATGTAGCATCTTCAAGCAAAAATAATTGGCATTACCTCCATTGTTCCACTGGTAAAGACAGTTGGTGTAAATACAATCTAGATAATGCTAATGGGACCAATGAGTATAAAGCGGGACTAGGTCTTTCTCTTAAAGTTGTACTTAAGTTAAAACCCATTTATGTAAAATTAACATTAGATGCTTACTTAAATCTTTTCTTCATGGAAGAACATAGAACCAAAAAGAAAGTTTTAATGCAATGATAAGGTCCAGAATACTCAAATCAAAGTATTTTTCGCTTACGCAATAGAAATTTGAATTCTATGATGCTATTGGTGCTTTTAATGTAGGATTAAAGTCTAGTATTCTTATATTTAAAAGACTTTATATGCATACCATTTCTGGATGTAATTACTTGAACCAGAGAATAAAATAGACTAATTTGCTTTATATTTTATTTTGAGTGGTGTTATATTAGTTATAATTTTTAAATTCATTCTTTCAAGTAACTTTGAATATGTTAAGGTTGACAATGAATTGTTTTTTTTATTTTAAGCAGATGGCAGAGAAAACAGTATAAAAAACCTTTTGAAATGTTTAGATCTATTTCAAATTCTTAAGTTTGCTCGTGCAGTTTATTACATTGTTTTTCAGATAGTACAGTATTATGAAGTTTTTAGAATGTACAACAAAAGTATTGAGATTTATTTTCCAAGTGTTTCATTAATTTACAGAAGGTCTGTGACTAAATGTTAACTTAGTTTCTTTATAATTGAATTTGATCTATTAATTCTAGTAAATTATAAATTACAAGAGTTGTAGAAAAAATATTTTTAGTTTTAAGAAGTTTTAGGAAGTTTTACTGAATTCAAATCTAGTTCTCTTTTCATATTTTTAGCATATTTGTTAATAATAAAAAATAAATTTTTTATTATTAACAAATATGCTAAAAATATGAAAAGCTATCTATGAATAGCAAGCTCATTTCAATATAATAGAAGGTAATAAAGTTTATAAACAAAAATTAACTAATAATCATGTTTTTTGGAAAAGTAAAAAATTTAGTTTACATATTAAACATTTTTACATTTTACTTAATAACCCATTTCAATTCGTCAAGGTCTTGATAACATTTTCCACGAAAAACAATTGAAAACTCCTTGATATTCGAAAAACGAATCCAGTCGTATAGCTGTGTTATAAAATCAATGTCTCTGTGAAGGTCAAGAAATAGTCTTTTACAAACAAGAAGCCACGGAAGAAACGATTCTTCAAAGTTTTGCTTTGATATAAAATAACGTGACATTATTATCCTTAACTCCTCAATATTACGTTTCGGTTTCCATCCCTCAATTTTACATGGACAATGAAAGCCAACAAATGAAACGTTCTCTGAACTTTTTATTATGAGATTTTTTTCATCAATACTTAAAACATTTTTATGAACACTTAACCATCGTAACTTTAAACATGAATTTATAAAATGATTAACAAAATAGTTTTCGCAAGAAATTTCGTAAGAGGTTTTTCCGTTGTCAATTGAAATATCCCACTGAAGTTTATCGATTAAAGATTTTACTTCATTAGTGATTGATAACTGACCTTCATAAAAACATTCCATGAATATCCTCACAAAATTTTCATTATCTACGAGATCTAAAGATAAATACAAATATTATAAAATGATTTTAGGTAAACACTTTATCACCAATTACATTTCAAACGAGAAATTGAATTTTAAGCAAACAATTTTGTCATGATTAAATCAAAAAATAAACCGTTCTGGTAAATTAGCAAGTCACCCAAAGCAAATTGTCAGAAAGAAGAAGTTTATTTTCACTAAAAAAGTCAGGAGTAAGAAAATGACGAGCACGATAAAAGTATAAATTAAAAAAGTAATAACAATCAGCAGTAAATAACTTAGTTTTGGTTAAAACTTACCACTGCGAGTCTCCAGTCGGAAATTTGAGATCATATTCAAGAGCTACTGCTTATTTTGAGCAATCAAAAATTATTTTTGTCAAACCCAGATAAAGATATGTTACCAGTGTTGTATAGACTGAATATAGATATGTCATCTTTGTGGTAGTTGTTTTGTTATTTTAGTTTCGTCATATAGTTGTGGTATCATAGGTAGATTACAATTTAGTTTTGCAAGTAAGGTTGTCAAAGTAAACAACTTATATAAGAACAGAAAAACTCTGAAATAAAACTCCTAATAATTCTCACTAAATAGTGAGAAAAGATGCGGAAAGCTCATAAACCGCGTATCTTTCTAGTGGTAGTACATGGTTATCATCGAACCTGATAATGCCAAAATAGCTTACCCAAGAACACCCCTTATATGCGTACACAACAATGAACCCTATTATACAATTTTTAAAATTTTGTAACTTTATCCACTGATAAAAATTTTACTTGAGTGTTAAAACTGAGTGAATTTTTGACTTAATTGCGCGATAATAAAAGCACCTGTAAATAAGAACTACTTTAATATCATTTGATAAAAATTGGTTCAAAGGCAGCCTACGGCCTCACCAAACTCTGAATGAAATATAAGTCTGATTAATTAAATAACTAAAAATTTAAGGTAATTTAGTTTAAAACTCGTTAGTTTTTGCTACCTTAAAACGTTACCGATTACTGCGATATATAATTAATATATTCAAAATAATGGTAGCATGAGTATTACACTATGTAATATTACCAAATTTTATTATAAATCTATTATTTGCACATACAACATTATCATTTTAAAGACCAACATATTGGTTTGCTATTTAAAACATGGCATAAATTGGCTACGCATAGCGTGAATATACAAACCAAAGTCAAATCAAAAGAGAAAGATCTTGTTTGGCAAAGAGTACTTCTTTAAAGAAAATTAAAAGTCATTGTTTAGATTATGTTGTCAAATGAAATATCATCTAAATTGTCTTTAAGTTTCACAAATTTTAATTATTATTTTCTTGTAAGTAAAGAATTATTCAAAGGAATATTTTCTTGTAATTTAAGTAAATATTTTTAATTAATAAAACTTATAAGTATGTTAAGAGGATCTTTACCCGATTTAGGTTAAATTTTGTAAAATGCAGAATTCGGTTTGGTGAAGTTTTCCTTCATTTAACGAACATATAATTTAAAAAACTTTACCAAAAAATTTTTAATTTCTAGATTGCTGATTAGGTACCAGCTCTTTTTTGTATCAAGTTACTTCAAGCTGGAGGAGATAGTTAATAAGAAAAAAAAAGAATTAAATCATAAATAAACAAATTTAAAATTAACTTATTGCTCAAAAAAAAGTTTAAAAATCAACATTCACGGTTAGCACGGATCCTTATAATGCCTACCTAGCTGTCCCAAGAACGCCACTTATACGGAAAGTTAGCGTACACATCAAGGTACCCTGTGATGCAAATTTTAAAATCATTTAACTTTTTCCGCAAAAAATAATTTAATTTGAATATTCAAATTAAGTTAAATTTTGACTTCATAGTGCGCAAATAAAAACACTTGTAAAATTTGAACCACTCAATATAATTTGATAAAAATTGGTACAAATGTAGCCAATAGTCACACCAAACTCTGGACAAAATTTCATCCTGATTAGATGACTGGTGTAGGATTTATTGCAGTTTTAGTTGAAGTCAGTTTTTTGCTACTTATACCTCAAAGCGTTATCGATTACTTTGAAATTCGGCTACTATTTTTAAAATAACGGTTACATGAGAGTTCTGCTATGTAATACCAACAATTTTTGTTATAATTATATTATCGGTACATGTACAGTTTTCATTTTATAGACCAAAATAGTGATTTTCTACTTAAAGCGTGATTTAAATAGTCTTATGCTAATAGTGTCGACACGATCTTCAAAGTGGAGGGGGTCCATAATTTCTAACATAATCCATAATTTCTAACCAAATCCATAATTTCTAACAAAATCCATAATTTTTAACATAATTGCTTATATTTCTAAAACAAAAGGTCCTCGCAAAAAAAAAGTTTAGTAGGACATGATTTCCTAGCCTACCTGGCGTTGGCGGCCATGTATGCTTCACTTGAATATACCAATATTTCTTAAGATATAAACTAAAAAAAAAAAGCTAAAAAAAAGTGCAAAACCTGGTCAAAGGACTACCAGTTAGTTAAACAAAAAAAAAAAGTAGATCTCCTAAAATATTTTGTATTGACCTCTTTAAATACATTTACTTTTAAAATGAAGTGAAAACTATTTAAACCCTGTTTTTTAAATTGTTTTACCATCAAATGTCTAATTACATTTGTAGAAATGTTTTTTTGATTTTCCTAACCAAAAGATTATTAATAAATAGCTCAATGTACTCTTTTAATACAAATACTCTATAATACTACTTTTAAAGATGGTAAAAATATTCATTATACGCCGTAAAATATGAATTTCAGCAGCCTAGTTTCTAATAGCTCAAATGATGTTGTTTAAAGATGCTTACTGTTTAGATCAATTATGCATCGCAACAATCTTTCATTGTACTCTGGATGATTATTATTTTGCTTAACCAATATTGATAAAAACCTTGACGAGAAGTTTCGACAGTGTGTTCACTATAGGGCCTCAAGGGGGATCCTTTGTGACTGATAAAATTCATGATGTGGTAAAAGACGCCGTGAGTTTTGGGTGTTACGCTTGCACCAGTTATCATTAGGTAATACGTTTTGAAATTTTGAATTTTTTTAGCAAAATCCGGCTCAATGAGGTATCCAAAGCAAGCCTTAAAAATTAATTGAAGCTTTTGAATGCTTCAATTATGCACAAAATATTGGAAACCATGTTTGTCTCAGCAACTTGCATATCCACATTTTAAAGAAGCTTCCTGCATTCATTTTCCTCAAAATGGCCCTTGTGATAAGAGCTCAGTTGAATGTGGAGGGTGGCTAGCCACTTAACAGCTTCTATCCAAGCAGTTTTAAGGATCTTGAAAAGATGGTTAACAACTCCTCAGAGGAGATGCAATTCCATCGGTGGAATGATTTTCAAAATTAGAACATTGACAGGCTCGGAGATGATTGGCTTTCGAATGACATTGCCAAACAGCTTTGCATTAGCAACAACCCGCCAGATTGTTAAAACGACTCAAGGCTTAAATTAATTTAGCCCAGTGTTCGCAAGTTTCCAGATTTAGAAAGACATTTAGATTTGACGTAACACCTGGTGCAAGGGTGTGTACTTGAATGAGATTAAAGATCACAAATTATATTTGTAACTTTCATATTACAAGCCAAAATCAGTTTAACTTCATTAGCATTAATCAGGGAACAGATTTGTTCAATATTGGAGTGGAAGCCCGCAAGATACTTTAGCCAGTAAAATAGTTCCTTCCGGAGATAATTCTTTATTGAAATAACTCGAGAAGCGATTTATTCGGATGATTTGGCATCTTTTTTTGCTAAAGATTGAATGTTTTCACTAACATTATTTGAGACCATTGGTGGGGCAAACCTTTTCCTAAAAGACTGAGGCGTTTGCTGCAACGAATCTTTGGTTTTTTTCTCAATAGTGGTTTGCTCTATAAGAACATGTTTTTTTTTGCAGCTTGGAACGACCAATGCGGCATATTAGGCAACAACACATCGTGTCTCTTGTTTCTTGTTTAACCTCACTTGTATTGACTTAAAATCAAACAAAGGAGGGAGTCCAACTTCTTTCCCCTCATGTTTACTGCGCAAAGTAATTCTAAACGATTTGCAGAATCCTTTTTGTACCCAAGTATCACTGATATTGATCTTGGTCTTGTATAGTTGGCATATTTGATCTGCTTTAAAAGTAGTAAGCTGTCTTAAATATTTTTTCAGACAAAGCATGCACACAAACTTTCGGTTTTCATCATGATTCTTCGCTTGATTTGGCATCGTTGCAATTCACTAAATTTGACTTCACTAAATCAAACTCTGCCTTTTACAATATTTGACCTAAATTTATATTTGATAACAATCCATTTAACATAGTGACACATATTATTAATTAAAAAACTATTAAAATAAAGGAAATATTAACTTGATTTAATTGAGGTCATACTAAATCACAAGGAAATAATTAATGAATAATTCTTTCCTTACCACGAAACAATTGTTTAAACTATTTACTTGTAAGGAAATTACTTTATTGATAATGGTCACACTTATTAAACTAATGATACTTGTCACACGGGTTGTTTTATTTCAAAACAACTTTTTCACCTAATTAGTTATTCAGTTAGAGTAATATTCCTCCGACTGGCCCTCCAAACTTTGTATTAACCAGATGTTTTAGTTAACTTATCTAAATTTTTTAAGTCAATTATCTTTGTCAATATAAAAAACATTTAGTTTTTTCACAGTTGTTCTGTTTTCAGATAAATAAATCTTTTTGTTTTCTATGTAAGTATCCCTATAAATCCATCTTTTTAGAATTTTTTTGCATTTTGGCAGTAGTTTATACCTTAGGAAATGTGGGTATAATTACGCTATGCATACATGACCATCGAGGAAGCCATAGCCTGCCCACTATTTTTGCAAGGACTTTTTTTTTAGAAATATAGGCAATTATTTTAGAAACCATGGACTTTATTTTAAAAATTAAGGGGTTGACCCCCTCCACTTTGAAGACCGTGTCAAATTATATTGAGTGGTTCAAATTC